CATAGAGAAGAAGCTTCATAAAATGTGACGTAAAATTCAGGAAGCTGGAGTGCATTTCCTAAAGTTAAGATTTCCGTGCCTGAGGTGCACCCCTGGGACCCTGGTGAGCATCCGTGCTCACAGGGCGAGCGTCCACCAAGAAGAACTGTTTTCCTACACAAAGACACCATTCATCAGACCATCACTCATCAGGGCGTATGGATGAGCACAAACGCTGAAAATGCCTTAGAAAGCCCCTGTGCAGGATCGCTACCCATGTCAGAGAGTGGGACTTGGGAAGCTCCAGGCGGAACTATCCACCTCAGACAAATGGTCACTCCATGGTCATCTGAGTGGACTAACCATCACGTGTGTGTGTGTGAAGAATCGGGAATTCTTTGACCGGAGTTGACTTTTTTCCAGAGATTTTCTTTACCTCCTTTCTTCCCTCTTTCCCTCTGGAGAAATCATTGAGTGCTTTGGTGAAAAACAAACAAACAAAAACCCAGCAACTGTGAAGGTCGCGAATTTATTTATGTCTTGAACCCAGTGCTCATCCCAGCACTGACATTTCTAGCTTAACATGTGTGTTCGCCCTGGGATAGCCCTTGGCGTGTACTTATGTTCTGCAGAATTTTCTTAATTATTTCTTAAGTTCTCAAGGAAAAGAGTTCTGGCTTAGGGGAAAGCATCTATTGTAAAATACGTATTTTGCCCTTTGTGCCTCGCCATGCTGTGTGTGAGTTTCATAAAATGTGTGTGTGGTTTTTTTGTGTTTTTCCTGGTTTGGCCAAAGGAAGAAGTCAGCCTCCTTTCAGCACTATGAGCCGGCAAGGGCAGGCGCCCGAGCAGCCCCCGCGTGGCCAGCGCACATTTCCCTTCACCCGAGTTTCTCCAGGGCCTCAATTCCCAGTCGCCCTAAAACTTGGAAGCAGCCACTTCAGCCCTCGCCCTTTCCCCTAGTTATCGTGCCAAATTCTGCAAATGTCACCCTTGCTTCTTCCCAAATCACGCCCCGTGCCATTGTCCTCACTCCCATCGAAGTGGCTCCCCGTGTCCTCTGACACACTTTAAGCTCCTCGGGGCTGCAGGACACGGACTATTTTAAATCAAGTCAATGAAAGTCTCGCTTCCCACTTCCATGCTTTTTATTCTGGTCCACGCATTGTCTCTATTCAAAAATAGCACTCTCTCCGAAACCCACAGAGCAGTAGTCCAGAGGGCAGCCCACCTCTCAGAGCTGCAAAAACATGTTACATAAAACCTTAGCGGATGGATCTTCTTAAGAGGACATCATTCCTGTTAACTGTTGGATACCTGCCCAATGGTATGACTTGGAAATGCAGATGAAACATCTTAAGTATTAGAAGAAGGCTAATGGTACTTTATGGTACTTTTACATGTAGTATGTAGGCTCTTTGATGTTTTTAAATTAATATATTAAAAAATTTATATTTTTGCTTGCTGTTGAGGAAGCATTTTTTAAGAGGATAAAATCCACTCCTCGTGCCTTTTTTTCTCTCCGTAAATGGAAATACTGTCCAGAAAACGCTTTGCAGGGCACTTGGTAATTGACAACAGCCACAGCTTAGTAATTAGCAACCTTCTGAAGAGCTGGCATCTTTATTCATTTATAGCAGCACACGATGATTTACTCACTCAGCCAGTACTTACTCAGTGCCCACTGCATGCAAAGTGCCTCACGTTAAGTCAGACAGTCCCACACTCACTTGCTCTTTCTATAGGAGTTAAACGGACCAGTGAGATAAACCTCATAGAGCAGTGGTAGTTAGCTAGTACATAACAGCGGCTACGAGAAATTTTGCTTTTATTAATGTTAGTGGTGATAACACTGAAACGTGGTTACAGTCTCAGGAAGACCAGGCTTCACAGTCAGGAATGCTGCCAGGGCCAAGGGAGGGGCGGGGCAGGTGTGCGCAAGGTCCAGAGGCCTCGTGCTCTGCCTGGAAGGTCGCAGAGTCCTGACAGGAAGCATCATCTTTCAGTCCCAGGTTGGATGTTGAGGGTCCAGCCGACAGTCGTGGGAAGGATGAGGCTGGCAGACCACGTGACTCGGGGCGAAGGCCCAACAGGAATGAGTGAAGGCTCCGTGAAAACCCCCGGGACACCCCTTCCGAGGACGTGCAGGGGTAGGTTAAGAGGAGATTCTAAGCTGTAGAACAAGCATGTCAAATTCATGGTCCACGGGCTGCATGCGGCCCACAACAAATATTTTTGCGGCCCAACCAATATAACAGTATGTAAGAAACGTTTTAATAAAAATTTCATAACTTAATTTTCATAACATCCTGTTATACATAATTATTAATAACGAACTACAACGTTCGCTAATGACTGATTACTATAATTGTGTTGCATTCATTCATTTCCCTTCTGCGCCTTACACGCAGGCGCACCATTTCTCTCCACTATTATTAGCAGCGAATATTTTAGCAGCCGGTGGCCACGTCATTAGTCTTGGACTGACTTGTTTGGTGTGCGCAACAGGAAATATTTTGCTTTCAGAGAAGAAGAAAAATAGGTTTATTTGCGTTACGCTTATTAATTTGTGCAGTTATTCAGTGTCTGGTAAGTTAATGTTCAAGAAAAAATATTAATTTTTATTAAAATGTTCTATTATTTTATGTGAATGATTACCCATTTACTTCAGCCCTTTGTATTCAGCATGTCTCTATGAATAAGCCTATGTTTCTATGAACATTGAAGCATTTGTTTTTTTGCGGCCCACAGAAACTTAAACCTTGTTTATTTGGCCCGTGGTAGCCTTAGAGTTTGACATATTTGCTGTAGAGATCTGAAGATGACAAATCCTGGAGAAGCACGATTTGCCTTTTATGAAATCCATTCCAGCACTCAGTAGAAGCTGGAGCCGAACTCATGCTGGGGAAAGACAGGCAGGCGAGCCGGGGAGACCCCTCGGGCCAGGCCAGCCGGGAACTGCTGAAATAGCTGGGGGGCAGGAGCATCTGTCCGTCTCTGCTCTATTCACTGGGACTCTCCCTGCTATCCAGCGCCAAGGGCCGGGAATCTGGTCCTGACGGGCGTGCGTCCATCTCTGCCTGTAGCGCTGGTCTTGTGCAGGTGCAGGTTCAGGGGGGTGGGTGTGCAAGAGCTTTGCGACTAACCCCAGACAGGCCTCTGCTGAGCCTCAAATAGGCCACTCTCTCTGCCCCTCTGCTTCTTTTCGCTAACCCCTGAGTGGAACAGTGGTTCCTGGAGGGAACTCCTGCTTCACAGGCACCGGGGCGGCTGGGAGCAATCCAACCTGCAGACCCACCGGGCTACAGAGTCCCCTGGAGGCAGACAGGCATCAAGCCTGAGCAAACCCCCGCAAAGGCCACTGGACAAGGGGGTCTTAAACTCAACAATCACCCACTGGCGTGGGCACCTTTTATAACACAGCCTTTGAGACCTCGTCCCTCCATAGAGCTACAGGTCTGGGCCAGCGGGAAGTCTGGACCCAGCGCACCCTCCCCTGGCTGGACGTCATCGGATTGGGGCACCAGGGCCTATCCGGCTTCCTGGTAAATTACCTGCTGCTGCTGAAATAAATGAAATAGGTACAACCCTTTGCTGGTGCAAGGACAAGGGGCGGGCTGAGTGGCCATTTTATTGAACTGAATTACTAAAGAAAGATTTTGAAAAGCAAAGAGGCCAAAGTAGAAGAGGACGTTCCTTCTCACACCTTGTTGCTGAGCAGGGGCCCTGAGGAAGCTGGGGCAGAGGGAGGGCCACAGCACTTGTACCTGAGGCATCGCTAGGTGTGCAGTTGGCAGAAGACACCTGACGTGGGACAAAGAATTGCTTTGCTCTAATCACTGGCATCAGAGCCCTTTCCCAGCTCCTCTCCCACTTGCCTGAGGAGCAAGGGGAACTCCCTTCAACCACACAAGGCCTGTGCTTCCAGTTCAAAAATCCAGGATCTCGTGTGTCCACTTGCTCATCAGCCAGAGTGCGTGAGGTTGGTTGGGCCTAAAAAGGATCTAATCCAACAATGGGCCTGCTTGGGCAGCAGAAGAATTGAGGTGGGAAGAACTGTGGGTGAATTAAATAATAAACAACTGTTATAAATTTCAAAAACAATGAAAAACTGGATTCCTGGGTCCTTCTTGTCCACCGTATCAGAACGCAGGCCTGTTAGCTGCAGTAGAAATAGTCGATGTGAGGTAAATGAGACTGGGGAGTTGAGGGGAGACAGTCCGCAGAACCCTCTGCCGTCAGTCATCACTTCCCGTGGGTCTGGTCCCACTAACTTCCTCCTGGTCCAGTGAACTCCCCTGGGGCTGCCTATAAAGCTCATGCTCCATAAGAAACTCTGCTGAAGACATTGGAGGAGACCTTACTGGTGTCTAAATGGTGAAAAGATGCTTTTGGAAACTTTCCAAGGGGTGAGTAATGGTGATAGCTCCAAGGTTTCGCTTTAACTGACAAGTAGGTTGAACAAGTAGAACTTGCAAGTACAAAAGAGGGTACACTTCTGCCTAAGGTGGAATCGGAGCCTTCTCGTCATTCCTATTGTCCTAACGTTCATGCGAGAAGAACAGTCCAAGGACACGTGGGCACCATCTCTTCGTCCGGGGAGACCAGGAGGAGATTCATTGTGAAGCACAGGCCTGCCTATAACAGGGCTGCTCACCCATTTGACCTGGAAATTCCAGGAAAGTCTTCAAAAGAAAAATCCAACTGCAATCTAGAACTATTTAGTCCATAAATATTAGGGAAGGACCATTCCATTCTCAGAGCCAAGAAAGACTTCTGAGAAGGTGCCACTGGAACTGAGTATGGCCGACTAGCCCAGGTTTGTCAGACATGAGGCGGGTAGGGTACTCTAGGGGGTGTGGATAGGAATAGGCATGTGGTGATTCTTTTTTAAAAAATAAAATAGCCGAAACCGGTTTGGCTCAGTGGATAGAGCGTCGTCCTGCCGACTGAGGGGTCCCAGGTTCGATTCCGGTCAAGGGCATGTGCCTGGGTTGCGGGCACATCCCCAGTGGGAGATGTGCAGGAGGCGGCTGATCGATGTTTCTCTCCCATCGATGTTTCTAACTCTCTGTCTCTCTCCCTTCCTCTCTGTAAAAAATCAATAAAATATATTTTTTAAAAAATAAAATAAAGAGCACATTTTCATGCTTGAAGTGTGTGGGAGGGTGGAGGTGAGTGTACAAGGTGTGTGCAGGGCGGGCACCTGAGCAGGTGGATCTAGAGCTGCAGGTCAGAGAGGCGTATGCCAGGAAACTCAAGTCTTTCCAGTAGGGTCAGTGATTACAAAACCAGACTCAAGGGTTCCTGAGGTCATGCCAGCTGCGAGCGGCTTCGTTTGGGGAGTGACTGGCCCTGAGACTAGGAGATCAATTAGAAGGCCAACGCATGTAATGCTCATTGAAGAGGGTGAATTAGGATGGATCAAGGGGGCGCCAGCAGTTAACCCCATTGGACAGGACCACACAGAGGGGCCGTCGTGATCTGTACCCCCCGGGTTTTCCTGCTTCGTTCTGTCCCGCTGGATCAGTTACTACCATTGGCTGTTTTTCAGAGATAGGTGTCCTCTTCCCCTCTGCTCCCCACCAGCCGTCTCACTGGCCCTGAGCAGCATGGTTTGTGAACGGTGTCCCACAGGACACTTCCTGCCTGGAATCCAGCTCTGAATGTGGCTGCCCAGCTCTCTGCCCAGGACCCAACGGGCATGAAGTACGATCAACCATGCATGCTCCCTGCCCAGCACCATCTGCCCGCCCTGGCGCCCCGAGGAGCTACACTAGGAAAGGCGGGAACTTCCAAGGGGCCTTTCCTTCCCCGAGAGCCTGGTCCCAGATGAGACAGGCCGGCAACTCCGTGTTTCCTTCCGCAGGCCCCACTGTGCTTTTAAAAGCTTCCCCAATGTGCAGTCTTCCCAAGTGGAAGACACACAGCCCCAAACCTCTGCTGCCTACAGAGGAAGAGAAACAAGAGGGAGCAAAATGATTATAGTCCCCCCACCCCAGCCCCCCCACCCCTGAGCCCTCCTGTTAATTGTCCCAGGTCAGCCTCGGGGGAGGGGATGGCAGGGCACTGCTTCGGTGTCCCCACTCTCTGATCAACGTCAGGGACCAAAGGACGCTGGGAAAGAGGATGTTTGCCTTTCTGGGGAGCTGGGCTGAGGGCCCTACTTCCCTGTAACTAGGAAAGTGGCTTACGTATCTTAGATGTGTATCATTTTGCTCTTACCTCTGATGGGTTTAATCAAGTCCTCATTGTAGTTATATTCTAACTTCGTGTTGTCTTCATAGTTTTAGAGAGTGTAACATACTTAGGGGGCATCTTACTGGCCCGGGACCCAGATGCTCACCTAAGACGGGTGTTAAAACACTGCACCAGCCCCGGAGGCAGCAGGGCAGCCAGGACTCTCGCTGGGCTGGGTCGGGGTCCTGCACTCTGCAATGTGCCAGCTCTTCCAGGGGGCACCTCTGGGCCTTACACTGAGGGCCTGGAGCCGCTACATGCAGATCCTTCCAGATTCCTGGGCAATGACGGTGGGCCTCTTTCTGCCTGTAATGGAATTTTTGAAAAGTAGGAAAAAAGGATAAAAATAGCTAGTGATGAGATAAACCAAGTATTTGTCCACCCATCCAGAGTTGATGAAAACTTATCAGGACTAGCGGGTAAGATGAGAAATGGTACAGGATGTTCCCCGATTGCCTCGTATATCAAACCACTGTCTCCCAAATGAGGTTCTCAAATTTGGGGATCATCTGAGCATCCTGTGAAAAAAAAAAAGGAAATTCCAGGCCTCGCCCCCACTTGCCAGGTCAGACTCCCTAGGATTTGAGCCCAGCAATCTACAGGTTTAAAACTCTCTTCTGAAAGTTTGGGGGGAATCACTGGACTAAGGACTTAGTCACCTCATTTAACCTTTCCAGATACTCTGGCCTCAGTTGTTTCATCTGCAAAATGGGATAATAAGAGCTTACCTCCCTAAAGCCAGGAGGCTAGATCTGATATCTCTTCCTGTCTCTCATGGTTAGGAGACTTGTCATTTAATTATTCGCTTTTTCCCTCAATCATTATTGATGACTCATTCCTGCTTCTCTATGGTTATATCACTGCCTCCCCCCAAAATGCTTCTCCAACCCCTTCTCATTTATGACCCATCCCCTCCATGAACCTGTCCCCGCCCCCTCCCTCCCTTCTCTGCCTGGAGAAGCATCTGTGGTCCCAGGACTGACTGGCCCGTGTAGCATGGGTTTTGTGGTGAGGACCTTTCTGCAGTCTGTGTGTGACTTCCACCTGAGAGGAGGGACTGTTCTTGTTGCTGACAATGATGTTGACCAACACTATGTAAACCACCGTTTCCAAACCATTTTCTAATCCCGTCAATGTGCATGTGCAGTGATTGTGAGACAGATCCTCCCAAAAGCCTGCTACGCACAGAATTCAAGCTCAGGCTCTCACAGGCATGAACTCCGGAATTTGGTTTTTAGTCGCTGAATGTAGTTAACGCAGTGCCCAGCTCTCTAGACTTCTCAATTCAGAAAGTGTATAAAGTATTTCCTAAAAACAGGAGATTTTAATTAAACAACCAAAAAATGCTAAGTTGAAATACCTGGTCTGGGGCTCACAGAGGAAATAATGTGGTGAAAGGTCAGTGAGAGAGGCGTGCAATCAGCAGGCCAGCCCTCCGGTGCCCCAGGTGAAGGGAACGCGGTAAGCGGTGGATTTGCCACTGAAGCAGGTAGCACTCAACTACCTGCCAAAAAGCACCTCCCTTGAAGTCAGGGCTGTCAGCGGCCTCACAGGCCTAGGCCCTGGTCTCAGCCTCTCAGTGCAGGGCTTCAATGAGCAATCAGCCTGAGCCTTCATGCTGGGACGAGGCAATGCTTAAATATCATCTCTTCTTTTCTTTTTATTTTGAGAGTACATTTACCACAGCTGGGACAGTGGCACAAGGAAGGGCTGGGGCAGGAGAGCCTGGCTGGGTTGCTGGCAGCTCACTGGGAAGTCAGAGAAAGGGGGCCTCGGAGGCAGGGCCAGGGGGTTGGCCCGGGACGGGCGCCACTGCCCGTTCTTCCCTGGGTGGCCTGTCTCTGGGGGACCCTGAGCGTTTTGGAGAAAGAAAGTAATACATTCACACCCCAGATAAGGCGTGGGCATGCTCCAGGTAGAGGCCTCCTGCAATAGTACCTCATGGTCGACTTTCGGGTCTCCGGTTGCTCTTGTTGAATTTATCTGCTATCCTCTTATTGTGAACTCGGGCTCCTGAGCTTTGTGGCATTCAGGTTGGAAGCTGGACAGAGAGCATGAACCTCCCGAATGGGCATTTCTTTGCACAGAGAAGCCCGCTGGAGGCAGGGGTGTCCGGGCAGCCCGAGCGAGCACAACCCTGGCAGCGAGCCACCCCGCACACAGCTCCACTCCTCACTCCAGACAAACGGGGCGCAGGCAAAGAGGAACCTCATCCTCTCCCCAGAAGATTGGTGACCCGCAGTGGCCCACCACGAATTTCACCTTTTCTTAGTTGCTGAATAACTGAATATTAATGAAACTTGCAACTGCAAATTATGCGTATTTGATGCCGTACGTTTTCTTGACCTGATATTTTTGTTTGTCCTAGAGTTTGCTCTGTGGGAAAGGAAAGCAGGAAAGGGTGGGGACCAGAGAACAAACAGGAAACGAAGAAAGCGACAGGAGAAATATTCCAGGGGCCACGAGTTAGCAAATAACTAGGAAACAATCCAAAGGCTCTGTCCGGCGGCATTGTTTGTCTAGGAAGTTTACTAGAATTCTCCGTCCTGAAAAAGTATCGGATCAACCGTGGACCAAACACAACAAAAGTCCCTACCCTGTTGGAGCTTACTTATTTTACAAAAGCGGTTTGTTGCTCAATAACATGTTTATATATCAATTTATTTTATAAACTTTATATTATGAGAATTTATATTATATTACAAGAATTTATAGGAAGCCTTTGTATGGAAAATAAACATAAAAGAACATTGAATTTTTCCTTTTAAATAGTTTTCACAGAAGGAATTTGCATGAATCGGAGTTTTTGTACCACTGCATAGTCAGTTCTAAGGTTGTTCTCGTTAAGTACAGCTTACCCCTTTGTTCGGGACCTGGGCATGCGCCCACCCCACTGCAGGAGACGCAGAGCTGTGGCCCCATCTGGAATGAGTGTACCCCAACCAAATTGTCACTGGGCTGTGGCTGCCTCCCCTGCTGGGCAGAGTCTGAACTGGAGCCAGGAGCTCTCTGTGGCCAAAAGCCATTTCCAGTCTCCGTTCCTCTGTGCTTCAGGCCCGGTAGATTCTATTGCTATGTCTTCACGTTCACTAATCTTTGCTTCTGCGGTTTCTCATACGTTCTTAATTTCATCCAGCAAGTGTTAATTTTGGATGTTGTACTTTTTATTTCCAGAAGTTTTATCTTCCATTATGCTCAGTTTTCATTAAATCCTTGTGCATTTCAGCATACTTATGTTTTAAAGCAATCTTAGAGGTTCTGCTCATTCTGTCATTCCTGGATCTGTTTCTATTGACAGAGTTTCTCCCTCTTTTCATCCCTAATTTGATGGAATGCATGGACCTTGCAAGTGGAGCTTTGTGAGTGCCTCATCTCGTCTTCCTCAAAGAGGATTGGGTTTTGTTCTTAGGACATTTTAAGTTATTGGCAGCTCACTTACTCCGTACAAGGCTTGAGTTTAAGTCTGGTCAAGGTGGGTCTGACCTCACCTTTACTTTGGTACCGAACAGGACCCGTCTTGGTCTCGCCTGAATGTCCTGGTTGAGTGCCAGTGATGCCCCTCTAGCTGGCAGGAGGCTGAGCAGTTCCCTCCCCTGTATGGGCTCAGAGTGGTTCAGTTTCCAGCCCTGTGGGCATTCTCTCCACACCTGCTGAAGATGTTGCCAAGAATAAGGGAGCCCTTTAGCACAGATTTCTAGAGCTCTTTTTTTTCTGTAGATCTTTCTTCTCCAAAACCCTGCCCCACATCTTCCAGGGGCCTCAAACCCCTTACACTTCAACTGGTCTCAACTCAGTACGGCCGCTGTGCTCTCCTGGGGATCCCTCCCCACACACCCCTCAGGGTCGTGGCCCCAAGCAGAAAACTGGGGCGATGGTGGGAGCTCACCTCAAGCGTTCCCTTTCTCTAAGGCCCCCTGGTCCTGTATTTCTTGTACCCCAATATCTGGAAAGTGCTGCTTCATGCACGTTGCCCAGTATTCTAGCCATTTATGGGGCATTTATTGTCACTGCCCAGGCTAGAAGCAAAGCCCCAGATTTCTTTTTATCTTACCTGTACGTGCTGCCTAGTATGACCACGGCTCGTTTCAGTAATGCATCTCCTCCATTTCGATGACATGGCTGGTCCTACTGTGGAAGGCGTGGCTTTCCCTCTGCCAGTCCCGAGGTGGTGGGAGTGCAGGTCAACGCTGGAATAGAGAAGTGGGAAGAGATGGGATACCTACAGACACTACGCGTGCTCTCCCTCTACACCTCCAAGTCTGTACAGGAAACAGTAACTCGCTAGGAAACAAATACGAACGAAAGCTGGCTGCTCAGGACCAGAGCACGCGCCCACCCTGCCGCGAGGCAAGAGGGGAGCTGGAGTCCAGATTCAAAACTCTCCCGACCGGAGCTGCTCTCAGTCAGTCAAGGACTTTACTCTTTTGAAACTCGTTTCAGATTCTTCTCGAGGGAAGAGACGAAGCAGTGATAGCCAGACACAGGACGCCCGGCTCTGAGAGAGCGCCTGGGTCCGCATTTGATGAATGTGTGCATGGAGTTTGAGAGTCACCGCAAACACCACGGCCAAAAACAAACAGAAAGTGCCGATCCTTTTCTTAAAATAGATTTTAGAGCGAGAAGAAGGGAGAGGGAGAGAGAGAGAGAAACATTGATGAGAGAAAAACATCGATCAGCTTCCTCCTGCATGACCCCCACTGGCAATCAAGCCCGCAACCTGGGCGTGTGCTCTGATGGGGAATCAAACGGGTGACCTCTTGGTTCACGGGACAATGCCAACCACTGAGCTCACCGGCTGGGGGGAAAGTGCCAATTCCTTATCATAGACATTGAAATAATATTTATCGGATTCCTGAGATGAAATTATTCCCCCAGACATTTAGCCTTCTCTAGCCTCCAATATGTTTTTAAGGTAAAAAGTCGCACATGATTAGAAGTCATCCTGGCTTCAGCCATCATTCCAGGAGTAAGGCGGGAAGTCTCAACCTGCCTTCCAAGCCCTTTGTCCAGCTGCAGTGCTAGTGATGAGAGCAGCGTCTTTATAAGAAGACAGACTTGGGTTCTGCATGTGCCGTTAGCATCCCTGCAACCTGCGGCGGGGGGGGGGGGGGGGGGGTTGTTTCACTTCCCTAAGGCTGAGTGTAAAGGGCCTAGGGCGTTGCTTGACACAGCAGCCGTAAGATACCAGTGGGAGCAGGTGGAAAGCGCACAGAGAGATGGGAACAGGAGGCGCTGTTGAAGCTGGTGCCAGAGAACTGGGAAAGTTGCGTGGAGGTACACAGAGGTGACGGCAGGACTCAGCTAGTTCCTGTGGCTGCAGGAGCCACAGGTAAGGGGTGGGGTTTTAGAATTTTAAGGTGTGGAGGAGGCGTCCCCTGTTCCCCTGAAGTGGGGCAGGCTCCCCAGGGAGGCGAGGGTGTGATGCCTAGCAGGTGCGGGTGCCCCTCTGAGGCCCGGAGACACTGAGCTCACCTCACCTGCTTCCCTTCTCTTGGGGTCCCTGCTGTATTTCCCTGAGATCCGGTGTCTTAAAACCCATCGTTTCACAGCATTTGGCCATTTTTCTGCTATTACAGGTGGAGGTAAATCTGGCCCCTCTGCTCCACCTGGGCCAGAAAGGGAGGTCCGCAATGTTTCTTGAGTAAATAAAGGAGCCACTTTTTTCACCCATTTGGTTATTTCTGTCTTGTTCTGCTTCATTTTTCAGTGAATTTATAAACTCAGACAGTTGTTGTGGCATAGTTTAGTTGATGTCACTTAATAACATGCATCTTTCTAAGACCTAAGACCAAAATGTTTTCAATCATCCTAACTCTAGTTCAAGGTTTTCAATTCAATCCATCAGTAAGTTCTGTGAACCCTAACTTAGAAACACACCCCCAGTCCTGCTGCCTCTCGCCACCCCGCGGACAGCCCCCCTCATCATGCCCCGAGGTTGTTACGACTTCCCAACTGATCTGCTCATGCCTGGCTCATTCCCGAACTGCATTCAGATCTTCACTCTGATGTCACATTTTGTGTTCCTATCGGCACGACCCCGGTGATATTTCTGCAGGCGGTCGGCAGCCGGAGGTTCCAGGAGCCGTGGTTGGTGTCAGTTCGGTTTTCCATCCTCTCAAATGGAGCTCACAGCCCAGCCGTCAGAGGTACCCGAGTCTACGACAGACACCGGGCCCACGTCTGCCTCCGCCCAGCTGGTATGTGTGGGTTCTTGACTTGGTGCAGGAGAGATTTCACAACACGAGTCCAGGAGATTTGAAGAGTATATTTACTAAAGCTGGGGACAGTGGGAGTTCAGGAGTAAGAAAAACAAAAGGCTCATGCCTGAGAGAAGGTATGGATAGACTCCAGAGAGAGCCCACACGGGCGTCCTTTGTCTTGAGGGCTTTTATCTCTTTAGTGGGCGGGAGCCTGTGGGCGGTGGGAGGCAGGGTTTCAGTAGAATGCGTGTCAGTTTCCAGGTGTGCTCTTTCATATGCTGGCGGCCCAGGATGTGTGCATGGAGGGGCAGGTCATTTCCTGGTCAACTTTGCCTCTCCCTTGGATTTGTTTGACTATGATTGGGTTTGTTGTTATTTAGTCCCCCAACTTCCTGTCTTGGGTTTGGCTGGCACCGATGGCGCTAACTGGGTCTCTGTCCTCTGCCTGCCTGGCCAGGGTTTAACCTACTTGCCCTCTGGTCAGGGAGCAGAAGTGTAAGCTGTTTGCTCTCCAGTGTCCTTGGTTAGGGCAGATAAGGTCTAGAGATTTGCTAGCTGGCTGTCCATTGCTTGATTTGTTTGGCCCTATTTGTCAAACCATCTGCCTCAGTTTCCCTTTTCCCACTTGTCAAAAAAGTTCTAAAATCTAACGACCCTGCCTCACGGGCACGGGCCATGCAGAGCCTCCTGCTCAGAGCCTGGGTCCCGCCGTAGGGCCTGGTCGCTTGGCAGACGGAGCGAAGGACATTGTCCTCAGAGCCTCCCTGGAACACGGAAAGGCAGGTGAAGCCACACGTGGGGCTCCGGGACCTGCACAGGAGAGCTCTGCACCCACCGTTTTCACACGTTAGGGCTCTGCCTGTGATCTGGCCAAAGTGTCCATGGGTTGGAAAAACAGTGTTTGGAAACTGGCTGTGAGGAACCAAAATTAAGTGACTACGTTTTGCAGGGTATGCAGAGGTGCTCATAGCCCAGATCAGGGAGGGCACATGCTTTGCCCCAGCCTCCACGAGGCTCTTCCCGTCAGCAAGTCTTTTTTTTTTCTTCTTCTTTTTTTAAATTCTTTTTAGTTAAGGAATTACAAATGTGTCCTCATCCCCCCATTAACCCCCATCCTCCCCCCGCCCCACTCATGCTCCCATCCCCCTGCTGTCCATGTCCATTGGTTTGGCTTATATGCATGCATACAAGTCCTTTGGTTGATCTCTCCCCCTTACCCCCTCCCCCCCTACTTTCCCTCTGGGGAGTGATAGTCTGATCGCTGTTTCTCTGTCTTTGGATCTGTCCCTGTTCATCAGTCTATGTTGTTCTCTACATTCCACAAATGAGTGAGATCATGTGGTATTTATCTTTCTCTGACTGGCTTATTTCACTTAGCATAATGCTCTCCAGGTCCATCCATGCTGTTGCAAATGGTAAGAGTTCCTTCTTTTTTACTGCAGCGTAGTATTCCATTGTGTAGATGTACCACAGTTTTCTAATCCATTCATCTGCTGATGGGCACTTAGGCTGTTTCCAGATCTTAGCTCTGGTGAATTGTGCTGCTATGAACATAGGGGTGCATATATCCTTTCTGACTGGTGTTTCTGGTTTCTTGGGATATATTCCTAGAAGTGGGATCACAGGGTCAAATGGGAGTTCCATTTTTAGTTTTTTGAGGTAGCTCCATACTGTTCTCCACAGTGGCTGCACCAGACTGCATTCCCACCAGCAGTGCAGGAGGGTTCCTTTTTCTCCACAGCCTCTCCAGCACTTGTTGTTTGTTGATTTATTGATGATAGCCATTCTGGCAGGTGTGAGATGATACCGCATTGTCTTTTTGATTTGCATCTCTCGTATAATTAGTGACTTTGAGCATGTTTTCATATGTCTTTCAGCCTTCTGTATGTCCTCTTTTGAAAAGTGTCTGTCTAGGTCCGTTGCCCATTTTTTTATTGGATTGTTTATCTTCCTATTATTACGTTTCATGAGTTCCCTGTAAATGTTGGAGATTAAACCCTCCTGTCAGCAAGTCTTGTTTGTATCCGGTCCTTCCCGGGATTCAGTGTGTTTGTTTAACTAAATGTCATAGCTCATCAACATTTCTGGTCAAAATAGGTCTAGAACGGTGACTTCAGTCTCGCTTTGGTTTTGTTGGCTCTACGTAGTTGCTAAGAGCAAATCCACAGGACACACAGCCCTGGGGCGACCAACGCAGGCCTTGTCACCTTCCCAGGGAAGGGATCTGGGTCTCTAGTCTCCTAAAGGAGAAGTTCCATTTGATGACCCTCAGAGCCCTGCCTCAAACTAAAAGCATATCTCCATGACATCTCCGCACTGTCAACATGAAAATTTCCCAAATGTAAAGCATGCAGCAGTATTCTCAAACTTATTCTTAAACAGAGTTCTCACCTGCAAATGCTGAGCTAAAACCCGACCTCTATTTCCTTTCATCCAAATTCTCCAGTCTCAGATTTTACTCCTTTGTTAAGTGCGTTGAGCAAGAATTTCCTCGCAAAGCTGTCATACAGGTGATGGCTTAGTCATGGTCTGGGTGTTCCCTGCACTGTAAGTCTTCACCCCAAAAGGGAGTCTTGCCCATCAGCCAGGGGCATGAGAGTTTAGGTAGGGCAGAGTTCCCAGGCTGTGCGAGTTCAGGGGAATGGCTTAAGTCTGCATTTACTTACAGATGTTGTATTGCACCCCCTTTGTTGTTTCGGAAGGTTAACCATTAGCAAACATGGGACACACGGTCTGGTGCCAGGCCTTCCCGAAACCATCGGGTGGTCCCGAAGTGCACGGTGAGCCCGCGTGGGCCTGCTTCCCATCCCCAAGAGAAGGCGACCCGCCCACGCAGTTTCCAACGTCCAGGCCCGAGCCGATGAGGTTTGTGCCGATAAAGCGGGATGTCCTCCTTTGCCGGCTTCAGTGATGGTGGTACAGCGGGGGTGGTTGTGCTCTTCTCCGTAAAATTCGTTTGGTATTAGATGAGATTGTCAGTTATTTCTCCAGCTCCAAACCTGTTTGCTGTCCTGTCACACATCGAGGAGGTGTACGCTGTGAGGTACGCTATGTCCCAACTAGTTTATTTTAAAACCCACGTTCTACTGAAACCGGTTTGGCTCAGTGGATAGGGCGTCGGCTTGCGGACTGAAAGGTCCCAGGTTCGATTCCGGTCAAGGGCATGTATCTTGGTTGCGGGCACATCCCCAGTAGGAGATGTGCAGGAGGCAGCTAATCGATGTTTCTAACTCTCTATCCCTCTCCCTTCCTCTCTGTAAAAAATCAATAAAATATATTTTTAAAAAAACACACACACAAAAACAAATAAAATCCACGTTCAGGGAATGTGAGGATTGAGCTGAGGAGGAAAACACCACCAGGAAGTGCCTCTCTGCATAGGTGGCCGCAGCCCGGGCTCACAACAGCCGCCTGGCTCCTGGGACTGCAGTGCCCAGTGCTCACGACACAACACTCAGCGGGGCCCCCACCTTGCAGTGCTCACACGGCCAGGTTCTCTCAGGCTGTGAGACCAACCAACTGCTGCGCTTGTTTAACGAAAGCTCCCAAGTCAAATGTCCTGGCTGCTCATGGGTCTCTTCCTATCAGCACGAGTCCTGTGGCGTCTGGTTCTTGTTAAATTCCCAGCACGATCAGCAGCCGTGGGGACGCTGACCCAGGCCCGTGGTCTCCCTGGTCATTATTCATCTGGCATTTGTGGAGCAGCTCGTCTTATGCACACGCAGCCACCATCGGTGTAAGGGCCCGCCTGTGGTGAGCAAAGCTATCCCAGTTTGTTTCTGGCTCTTTCTCTTTCCTGTGTTAGCCAGTTTAATGTTGCGATTTTTTTATATTAACCTGTACAGTTTATAAGGTTATGCCCACTCCATTGGATAGGAAGGAA